GTTCGATCGTAAACTTACCAGCGAGTCAGCCACTGGCAAATTCTCAATTAATCCTCTCTATAAACATTACACAGGAGAATACGATTCAATTATGACTTACATAAATTCCTTCCCTTTTATTATCACTAGGCTCCGAGGTTTATACATTTGTGTAAAAAGATAAGTAGATGCGAATTGAAGTAGCAGAAATAAAAAAGATAATGATTGTCGATATGTTGATCGATAAAGATGATCCATTAAATTTATTAAATATAGAAAAATAGGAAAGAAAACAATTCCGAAGTGTCTCTCGTTTCTTGCAGCAAATGCAAGAGATTTCTATGTAACATAAAGACATCCACGCAGTCTAATTATCATTCTTGACAAAATAATCCATAGATAATATGTATGTACGTACTAGGGACCGTGTATGTTACAGCTTATATGTGGTAATCATTCTCAACGAGGGTTATAACTAGATCCGAAAGTTTACGCATTTATGACAAAAATCAGTAGATCAAATACAAAACGGTATAAACATTAAAAGAATTTGAAAATTTTGTGGCATTATTTACAATTCGTTAAGGGATGAAATCAATGTTTATGTAGCTTCTGGATATTATAACATGTATTTAGTGTGGATAATGTTTATTTTACATAAAAATCCACAGTCTATGTATAACGGAGGAATTATATTTATTGATGCAGCCTGTAAAGTTTAGTAACAAAAGAATATTATACACTATTAGGAGCAGTCGAAGCACGCTTTTCTCCATCGACCACTATTATGAACAACCGAAATAAATCTCTCCCGTTGATAACAGTCATGAGCAACCAAAATAAATCTCCCTCGTTGATAACAGTCAAGAGCAACCGAAATAAATCATCTTCAGCGATAACTGTTACGAGCAATGAAAATAAAGCTTCCTCGTCGATACCTGTGATGTAGAACCGAAATAGAATATCCCACACCGATGAATGTTGCGATTAAGTAAAAAATTCCAATCATTAAGAATGTATCTATACATAGTACTAAACATTTTTAAGTTGACAGAGGTGCAATAGATGCAGTGTTCGACTTGACTTCACATGGAAAAGTGAAATTTTCGAAGCATTAAATCTCAGAAATTCATCTTATACAATTTTGATAACATAATACAGTTTCTAATATTACGTATAACTTTTCTGAATACACGAATGGCGGGAAGACATCGTGCACGCGTCGCCGACTAATTTTTCTCGACTTGCCTAAATCTAAATCGAGCATCGTCCCGATGCGGCAATTAAACGATTTCCTCTTCAAAAATGTCTATAGAATCTGAAACTTTCCGTAAAACTACGAAAACAATAAATGCGCGCTACGACTCTCTCCAACTTTGATGGATATTTACAACAACTTGAAATACGATAAATTAAAAACTGAGTAAGTATAGCGTTATGTTCGGGAAACTCTCCTCTAAGTTCGAGCTTTCTAATGTTTTTAGTTTTCCCATAATGCTTCTTTTTAACCGAAACAGTGTTATTCCACAAAAAATCATGTTTTTCAGAAACTACGGGTAATAGAGCAACTCCGTTGTCGACTTTGTCAGCCATTGGACATTACAAATCAGAAAAAAAATTGAAATTTGTTGGACAGTGTTAACTGAAAAATCGATCATCGAAAATTTATCTTCTAATTAAGTCGGAAAATCGATGCTCTACTCTATATGTTTTCAAAGTTCTGACCATTCGCCGAATGTTTAATCGATTAATTTAATGATTATACATTATATTTAATGTACTAAGACCTTTCAAATAGCACAAAAAGTTTTCTGAATTATTTAATTTTTTTTTAATTTTTCATGTTCTATATTTCTCATGTTTGACTTTGTTGAAATTTTAGCCTCGAACAAAAATTAATCTATAGTTTACTTAGTATAGTAGATACCGCGATACATCATCACCGGTACCATTAGATACACATCGTGCCCTGACTGTTTGGGGGTCCCAGCGTCACGTATACAATGTGAAACGCAACAAATAAACGTCTCTGATTGGTGGATAAGACGAATCCAAAAAGGGTATAAAAGAAGCGTTTTTTCTTACCGGACTCTCAGTAGAGTTTGGTCGCTCGATCGTTTTCGCCCATATACCTTCTCTCAATAAAGGAATAAAATAAAGTCCTTTTAAGCAAAGAATTAGAATCATATTCATTTTCATTCCATAATCCCAACAGACTTGAACTTTTAAAAAAGTACCAAAAAGTACCTGCGTGACATTTTGATCACTGATTCTGTATGCATTGAATTTCAAGATAAAAATTAAGTTTATCATTTGCCCAACTACATATGCCCAAAATGGTAACGCATCGAAATCTTTATTAACGCGTTCACTTTGAAGACGTTTGTATTATTCTGAGAAACAAGCTTATAAGAATCCGACAAAGAATAAACGATAATAATTACATCTTACTTTTACTATCTATTTATATTTATAAAATAAATTTATCTTTATTAAAAAGTATCATGTAATACGTGAACAATCTATTACAAAAAAAAAATCAGATAAATGTTGTTCAGTAATTATATGTATAGTGATAAATTACGATAAAACAAATTTTGAAAATGTTCCTTATGAGCAAAATTGTACATTTTTTGTACTGTCGATTGATGCATTTGTGTATCCTTTTCAAAAAACATCGAGAATGAGTTAGTTTAAAAGTCATGTATTCATTTTTTTCCAAATTCATGTTACATAACCTTAAAATTTGTTTACTCAATGTACATAATGGTACTTTTTTGCATTGGATTTGCTTATTACTTCTATTTATTTCATAAACTTGTTAGTTTGGAAGTTTTGGTTTAGGTTTGAATATGTATAATATGGTTGAAAAAAGGTGGTTATTGAGTAGATGTCCCAGTTTCCGTACCTGTTTCGATTTTCGTGCTCTCGGATTAAAAACGTATAGAAAAAGAAAAGTGTTACATATGTATAAATTGATGATCTATTTTTTTTATTATGTTTACCTATTAACACGTAAGATTCAGGGAGGGGTATTACATTTTTCATATGTTAAAATGTAATAAACATATTTCAATTGATGATGTCTCGTCAAAAATCGTAAGTAACGCTTGCTGAAGATTTTCATATAGATTTAATTATTAATATGATTTACGTCCTACAAAATGCATATTACATGTAGGTAGAATCTATAGTTCGTATCTGCTCACTATGAGTCACCGGAATAAACGAGTTTTTGTTTCCACTAAATAGGTACATGTGAATAAAATAAAAAAGCAACAAAAAGAAATAAAATAAAAACAAAATAAATGTCTGATAAAGAAACGGAAGTTATTTGTGACTCGTTTATACTCGATATTGCTTATAATTTGTTTCACGGTATTTAAGGTATTTAATGTAATACAGCTACATATATATACAGGGTGATTCACTTAAATTGAATATCTAAAGAAAAAATGACAAAGTGGTATTTCAATGGTTTTGAAACGTACATCCGATAATAACAAAGAATCATTCTGCTAAGGTTGTTTTAATAATTTTCTTAAGGCCATCGACACTTTTTTCCCATTAACGTTTATTCTTTATAGTACGATGTTGTTGTTTGCGTCATGATGGGTTTAATGATTAATAATATTATGTCCTTGAGATGACCTTCACATTTAAAACATGAGTTAAAATTTAAAGAATTTAATTTATTAATCGATGCACTCTCGATAAAAGAATGTTGGAACACATCTTGATGCCATCTTAAGATATTATATCATGATATCAGGTCATTCAAAAATAAACGTCAATGCTACATTACAAAAGAATCTACATATAATTACTAAAAGATGTTGGCATCGAGTTCAGGGACTCGCGAATTTTGTAATAAACAGTCCGCTTACGATAATATCATACAGGAGCTTAAATAACAATCTATAAATGATCATTTCAAGGATATAAGCAATGAAATTACTTTCAACTTAGTGCAATCGATGCAGCGTCGATTGCAAGCTGTAATTCAAGCGACAGGTAACCCTACAAAATATTAATAGTTTTTAAATTCGTATTATTATTAAGTGTTCAAGGACTTTTTTCATTCGATATTAGTAACATATAATAAATATGTTCTATTTACTTATAGAAAAAAAGGTTCGTTTTTAGTTACTCCTATATAGTTTTGAAGACTAAGAAATGTTCTTTAAAATTATATGTAAACACATTCCAAAATAACGTTATATAAATGTTAATAAAATTGAATTGAACAAATTTCGTTCTTGTGTACGAACATTTTTGTGGGCAACCGTATGTATTTGTATTATTTGTTATTGTTACACGAACCGTTGAACACGCATTATTCACTCGCACGTCTTATCCTTGCAATTGCATATGTTTGAAGAATTACGTGCCTACATGTATGTGTAGAAAATATGGGGTTGTGAGAAATGAGCGTCGAGTAACACAGTTACATTTCTATCGAATACTTTTTTCAAATAAGTGCCACAACTTTATAGGCAACTCGCGTTCTTACGGTTATAAAGTATGCGCTCATTAATGTAATAAGATCAAAGTCTGAGAAAGTTCCGTCTCTTGACGTCATGGAAGAAATTTAATATCGGTCAGAAGTGACCCGGCTCCTTTCTCGTAGTCGTCGTTCAACCATTCGCCAGTTCAGTCGTCCGACTATTAAAAGGAAACGATTGCTTACTAATCGGTAGATTATACGTGCCTGGAATCTTCGACCGCTAATCTAATCATCAAAATCATTGAGGTATCGAGCTGCCAGTCTTCGCCGTTCCGCTGCGCGCTGGTCTTGAAAGTGCACTTGATTGCAGTGCCACAGTGTATCGTGTGTACTCCATCGTTCGATGTTTTGCTAAAAAGTGGAAGATTCGCTTACCGACGGGCGACTCGTGACGCACGACGATGCAAAACGAACAAAAACATGCGTACATGTATATTGCACGTACGTGAACATTGTGCAGGTTCCGAGCAGTGAGGTCGAATGAAAAACTACGCGCGTAGACGTAAGTAATTTAATGATATTCCATTTCTTGAAAATACAGATAGTTTATACAATAAGCTTGCACGAATGATTTACGTGTACGTTAAACGAACACATGTACATACACGTTCTACGCATACATATGCGTCGCTCCCCTAGTCCGTGAAGTGCAAATGGATTGCAATCGTCGATGTTCCGAGAAATCGTTTTAGCATGATAGATCGATTCTTAGAAGTGAAAACTACCTTGACATCAAATGCCTATCAAATAGCGTATTGTGTTTGTAAGGTCGTAGCATATTTTCTCAAAATAACATGTTTCTACGATATCATCGAGTTTACATCTTATTTTACCGCGAAAACCTCGTAAATCGTAAATACACTAGAATTTGATTTATTCATCCCTTTGTTGGAAATTTGAAGATTCCTTGAAGAATTTCTAATATTGACAGTGTCTCGAGGTCTTCTAACATAGGAGTAAGTTAAATCACTAATAGGTCGGAGACTTCGAGAGAAGATGACGGATACAAAACCTGAAAGCAATCGGACATCGGGAACTCGTGCTGCATTCGCGTTAACTTTTTCTCATTTTCCAACATAATTGTATTTCATTAGTTTAGAAATACTGTTAAACTTTTCTTGACTAAAAAACAGTGTCTCGGATGAATAATGATTAGCTTTATGTGTTACTTCTGAAAATATACACGAAATCTGTGGACTTGACTCACCATTGATTACAATATATGCTCGAATAAAATTTTTGCAAGGGTGTCAAACTTTGCACTTTTTCGGTATCACGAGCATAATCTCGGATTTGAGAACTTACTGATGTGGGGATTACCAAGATTGAGAATATGGTATCATTAAGTAAAGCATTTTACGATAACTTTTAACGGAGTTACAGTTGTTCAAAGATTAATAATATTTCAGTAAAAAATGACTTATGCTTTAATTTTGATGTCGACTGTATAATGTTCATGCCACACCTGAACGTTGTCGATGCACGCGAACATACGACACTTGGTATCGGCTTTCGCTTTAGATGTTCATTAATTGCATATGTATGCATACGTATCATGTAATGTATTCTATATGTGCATACATATGTGTATACGTATAAAGGTCATGCACTCCAAGTTCATCCTTTTGCAAATTATATTCACCTTTTTTTTAAAATTAAATTCACCTTTTTTCGTATCAATTTCATTTTTCCACGAGTTGTTTCTTATTTTCACTTCTCAGAAAATTTACCGAGGTTTGATGTATATGCATACAACATATATGTATAGGAACACGTCTTCATTCGATGGCTCGTCGGGACCGAACATACAAATAGTGCCCGACAATGACGAATTGTGCAACCAGGAGACTAATTATCGGTTATTACGCGTTGACATGCTACTTGGTTGCATCAGCAGCCCATTTAAAAGACTACATGACACGTGCAATCAAGTAAAAGAGTTTCAACGGAGGATGAAAGAATGGCCTGGCGAAGACAAAAATTAGCAGTCTGATAGAAAATTTCATAAGATTAAGGGAACGTTGAGGTTCCACAGAATAATGCGATACTTTCTTTCTGCGAAAGTTACTATGTAGTACACATTGCGTACGGTTAGATTCGCATGTCGGGCACTACGCTGTTTTTAGCTAACATGCAAGCAAATTATACTCTTGAGGAGTTATGTGTGCAGCTTTTTCTGGGCGTTGACCTACAAAAAAGAAAATCAAAATAAGATTAAAGCGACATAGATTTGGTAAAAAAATATACGTATGCCTAAGATGTGACTGATATATAATTTGTGTACTATCATGTTATTTATGTATACAAATTTCTGATTTATCGGAATATCATTTATTATTTCAGAATATTGTATCTATTTGCATACAGTGGGTAAAAAAAGTATTCGCACAGCTTTTGGAACACAATAACGCGCTAAATGACTCGAATTTTTTTAGATGACAGAGGAACTAGTAGTTGAACTTTTCTTGGTTCAACGTTATCCGAAGGTCATGCTATGTCTATACCAGAAGTCAATTCGCCTTTGTTTTCGCGCTTATGAACGGAAAGTATAATAGTATGAAGCACAGATACTTATCATTTGAAGGTACAGAATCATTTATTTGCAACTATGTTCCATTCAAATCATCAGTATTTACATTCATATTTCGAAAACAAAAACGAATCGACCTATGACATATATACAGGGTTATTAATTATGTTACTTCCAGGAAATGTGGGGTTCCTGAGGTCATTTGAAGTAACTTTTTTCTTAGTGGAAATGCAATCAGCGGCTTTATTTACGAGTTATTAACGAAAAACAATGGCCAATGAGAGGTGAGCTCGGCAGCTACAAGGTGCAAAGGTATTGGCTTCGACCGCGGGGCGCGACGGAAGGAGGGGGGCTACGTTCAAGCTTCGACTGCGTTCGAAGCAATGGACAAGTCACGGTGATTATTTTAAGAGAAATGCTGTTCATTCTTATTTTAGAATATCTGAAGAATATTTATTAATTTTTCAAGTTCGAAGTAGTTTAATCGTGACAGCCATTTTAATTTTCTGGTGTGCATGACATCTCATGTGTGCCATATGCAATTTTTATGTCGTGTGTATATAGTGAATATTAACAATAAGTAACCCCTTCGAAGTACGTAAATTATATTTTAATTTAAATAAATCCATGTCCGAACAGAATTCAACGAATAATTCGCAAAGCTATTTTATTGATAAAT